ACAGCAAGCTCCGTGCACAGAGCCACATCTCATTTACATTCAGCAGGAGATTGAAGTAATAAAACTGAGAACAAAGAAAATTCCTGAGATGCTTGAGAGGAGGTGTCCGGAAGCCCGACAGGTGAAGCAATGAGGGAAAATTTTTCCACCAGTAAGTTTGACTTTTAACTGCAGAGAAACACATTCCCTGTTCAGTTGCAGTCAGGTGTAGCCCAGGGGGAGAGCACGAGACTAGCGTGCACAGGACCCTAGGGCCACACATCCCAAGTGCCATAAAAAATAAAAATCATAAAATAAATTGGGCATCATGATGTGCTCCTGTGATCGCACCTACTTAAGAGGCTGATTGCAAATTCCAGTCCAGCCTGGGCAATTTAGTGAGATCCTGTCTCAAATATATATATATATATAATAAAATTAAATTAAAAATAGGGCCGGGGATTTAGCTCAGCGGTTCGGTGGCCTGCCTTGCAAGCGCAAGGACTGGAGTTCAATCCCTGGTACCAAAAAATGAAATAAAATAAAATAAAGGGTTAGACAATAGCTCAATGATTGTTTACCTAGCTCACAGGAGGCCCTGAATGTAATCAACAGTACCCCCAAAAAACAATAAATAAGGGCTGGGGATTTAGCTCAGTGGTGCCGCCAACTGCCTTGCAAGCACAAGGTCCTGAGTTCAATCCCCGGTACCTCTAAATAAATAAATAAATAGACCAAAATTGTTCAGTGATAAGAGGCTGAAGTAATAAACATGTTAAAAATATCTTCTGACAGCCTATCCTGGTGGCACATACCTGAAATACCAAGTACTGGGGAGTCTGAGGTAGGAGAATCACAAGTTTGAAGCCAGCCTTAGGCAACTGTCTCCAAAAAAAGTGGCCCGTGGTGGTAGGAGGGCCTGGGATGTAGCTCAGTGGTAGAGTACTGGATTCGATCTCCAGAAAAAAAGAAAAAAAATAGTCACTAAAAAATTAAAATTGTCATTTCTCAGAGAGTGTTTTGTGAGGGTTTTTGTTTGTTTCTTTCTTTTTGAGGCAGGGTCTCCTTATGTAGTCCAGGCTGGCCTTGAACTCCCTATGTAGCACAGGCTGGCCTAATTCACAACTATCCTCCTGCCTCAGTCTCCAGAGTTTTGGGATTGCAAGAATAAACTGCCACATTGAGCTTGTTCTGTGATTATAGTTTAAATAAGTGTTACATAAGAAAAGGGTTCTAGGTCAAATAAATTTGGGAAAAATTAAGTTAAACAATGTTAAACAGGTTTCTTTATGGGAAGACCACAGGGAACTTTTAATATGCTAATTTCTAAAGTAAAGCTTCAAAGTCTAGATATAATAGGTAATGTCTTCAAAATCTCTCCCCTCCTAAAACTGTTTTGTTCTAAAGCCAGGCTTGAGGGGGCCAGTATTTTTTTTTGTTTTTTCTTTTTCTTTCTTTTCATTTTTTTTTGGTTCTGGGAGTCAACTCTGGCCCTTGTGCTTGCAAGACAGGCGGCAAAACCACTGAGCTAAATCCCCAGCCCGGGCCAGTATTTGAGAATCATCCCAAAATGAGATTTTCTAGCTGTAAACCTTAATTTTATTAGATGTCTTAATTTTTTCCTTTTATTTTTATCATCAGCTCTTAACACTGGCATTCTTCTGTTCTCTATTTTGCCTCCAGGTGATAAAATTATCATAATACTGTACTTCTACTGAGCACAAAAAAGTCACTTTGAATTGTAATTCTTGGTCTTTAAATGGACACTAATAGTTCATTTACTCTCACACCCAGCTCTGCAGTGCACTCCATTCTAATTTGTTGAATATTATTTATTACACAGTGTAGAACTTTCTGTGCTATTCTTCAATGACTAATGCTTAAACCTTACTAATTCATTACTCTGTTATGCCCTTTCCAGCAAGGGTAACCAGTTAAACCTTTCACTCAATTATTTTTCTTTCCTTGAGAATCTATTCTTTGTTAACAGAAAGTTTGAAAAGAAGCCACCATAGAGCTAGACAGTATGGGCATATGATACAGGGATGACATACGGACCTCCAGATAACATAAGGAAAATATTATAACTCTCACCTGCCAGAGTTCATGTTCTCTAAAATCAAAGAATGGATTCTAGGAACAGAGGTTAAGAATAGAAAATACTCATTGAGAGAAAGAGCTTTTGTCTGAAAGAGACAGAAGGGAGCCTGGGAAGTGGGTTGCTCCTGGACCACGGTTCTCAAGGCAGCTTTTTTAAAAAAAAATTTTTTTTGCCGGGTGTGGTGGCACACGCCTGTAATCCCAGTACTCAGGAGGCTGAGGCAGGAGGATCTCTGTGAGTTTGAGATCAGCCTGGGCTACATAGTGAGTTTCAGGTCAGTCTCAACTACATAGTGAGACCCTGTCTCAAAAAACCCCCAAAAAGTTTTATTTGGGTTTTTTTTTTTGTTTAAAAATTTAATTTAATTTAACTCCATTCTCCCCCTCAAGCCCCCTCCCCTCCCTGTGTGCAAAAGCTTCGTTTCCATTTTTTCCTGTTTTCTCTCTTTCTCTTTCTTTCCTTCTTTCCTTCTTTCCTTCTTTCCTTCTTTCTTTCTTTTCTTTCTTTCTTCTTTCTTTCTTTCTTTCTTTCTTTTTCTCTTTCTTTCTTTCTCTTTCTTTCTTTCTTTCTTTCTTTCTTTCTTTCTTTCTTCTTTCTTTCTTCTTTCTTTCTTTCTTTCTTTCTTTTTCTCTTTCTTTCTTTCTCTTTCTTTCTTTCTTTCTTTCTTTCTTTCTTTCTTTCTTTCTTTCTTTCTTTCTTCTTTCTTTCTTTCTTCTTGTCCCTTCCTTTCTTCCTGAAAGGGAGTTCTGTAGAGCAAAACCTCGAGGTGAAGAGGGTATAAGGTGGGACAAAACTATAGTCAACTAATAAGATTACGAGTATAGTCACTTAGGTAATACTGATCCAATGAGGAAGGAAGTCACGTAGCAGGCATATATGGAAGGAATAAGGATTTTTCCTGGAAGGGATAGGTTAAGGTCTTGGTCACCAGGTGATTGATGACTATTTAGAATATCGACTACTGCTATTCATCCCTTGGAGAAGTATGTGTAGTCATCTCATCTTTGTCTTGAAGTCTGACTTTTAACCAATGGGCCTCCACCTCCATCCACAGTTGCAACGTGTTCTTATCTTCTGCACTGACTTCTTCGAGGGCCCAGCCCTGTCTGACTGCCTGTAATATTTTTAACTAACTTAACTGTTATAATAAGAATTCTATTTTTAAAAACAGCCAGGTGTGGTAGGGCACTTGGATGCCTGAGGCAGGAGCATTGCAGCAAGTTCAAGGCCAGTTTAAACTATAGCGAGAAAACAAAATGGAAAGGGGAGGAGGGAGGGAGGGAGAGAGAGAGAGAAGGTAGGAATCCAAAGGTTGGCTGAAGTTTGACACATTCCTTGTTTTGTCTAAAATAGACAGTTTACGGGGCTGGGGATTTAGCTCAGCGGTTCGGTGGCCTGCCTTGCAAGCACAAGGACCTGAGTTCAATCCCTGGTAC